AGTTACAGTTTGAGAAAATGTCAAAGAAAGTATAAAAAGTATGATTTATGAAGTTGGCGTTTTTAGTCACCCTCGCTTTTTGTTTTATAACTCTAACAGTTGTCATTTTAAAAAACTTGTTAAGAGACATTTTTGTAAACGATTTCATGGCGAATCTTATAAAAAAAAATTTAAGTCGACCGCATATTATCCGACGAAGATATACCAAAAATAAAAAAGTGCGTTTATTTCTGTTACACCCGTTATATGTCACATAGATTATGATTTTACCAAATCGTTTTTGCAATACATCTTTTATCGAATATGGATCTAAAACTATACCATAAAAATACTTCATAAACATCAACAATGAATAGTTATTCTAAACTTACCTATTGACTGACAACTATCGTCCATTTCTGGAGAGTTAATTTGTCTTTATACTAGACAAATCTAAAACTAGTCTAACAATAAAATAATTCTTTTCTAATAAAAAATAATTGTATTTTACACTTCAACTTTTGACCCGTCACTATCTTTCACAATTATGATCGTGATATTTTTCAATCGAGAATGGAGAATATATCGAGATAATCGAGAAATTGATGAGACATCACATACCGGGAATGTCTTGTCTATGGATAAAATAGTCGTTAGTGATAAGTGTAGCATTACAATAAAAATATATAGAAAATATTATCTCGAAAATGTATCAATTTTTACGTAAGTTCGTAACGTTTTACAAAATTCATAGCTCTTCAGCCAAGCAACGTACATGATTAGAGAACACCTAAAGATTTTTCTTTGAAAGGATAATTAAACAAAGTCTAGCAGCTGACTAATTTAAGTGACATAATGTTTTTGGTATACGCCTCACGCCTTTTGTATAAAAGGGTCCTATTGGCGCGAATTATAGGTAAGTGTTTCGATTAGAGCTAAACGTCGCTTAATTGCCATGTGAAAGAAAAATCTTTAAACTATAAAATAAGACGTTCTCCAACATTGTACGTTGCTGGACTGTCGAGCTATGAATTTCACAAAACGTTATGGACTTACGTTTTTGGCTGGTAAGCTTGGAGAGACCTACGATATAGCGGCATCAAATGAAAAGAAAATCAACTCTATATTTAGAAATTTAATATCCGTATGTCGATATTTGAATTTGATGGGCATTCATGAGGGGTGTGTATCCGGATTTCTACTTCTTATTAGTGGGGACTCGTTTTTCTCATAAATATTCCTCGACATCTTTACTAGCATTGTCATTTTATATACTTCGATATTGTTGACTTTTTATCTCATGTTCTCATTCAATATTTGCTATGTTCTTCGCATTTTGAAGTCATATATATATTATTTTTTTCACGTTTACAGATGTAACATTTTATGATAAAACCGAAAAAAAGTAATTTCTTAGTTCACTGCAAACTATCTGGTTGATTTTAAATTAAGTTCTTTATCAAATTTCCATAAAAGTAGTTGGTTATTGATATGCTTTATTCGTTGTTCTTTCAGCTTTACCTAACACGCGCTTGTTGGAATACTGATCAACACCATTTGAATATTGAATAACAAATACTTTAGTCAAATACTTTCGTCTATAATAATGTATGCCATTTCAGTTATTAATTATGAATAAATACATGAGATCCATTGATATTTTACCTCTTTTAAAATTGAATTTTTACTTTATTGACTAATAGCACAAAAAATTTACAATAAATAGGAATATTTGCAAAATCTTTTTTATTTGTCTTAAAATAGTCTGATTTATACCTGAATTTGCTTTGTTATGTGCACTTGTTCATTTGCTAATCGTATACGAAAATCGGTAAATTGTGCACCAATAGCACGAAAGAATGGTGCTATAAATGCTGCACATAAATCATGTACATAAATACCTAATTCAACAATAATCGATTGAAATAAACGACGACATGGTGTAACAAGATAAATCATAAAAAATGTATAAAAAGCAAATGTTAATGCCCAGATAAATACCAACGGTAAACCAATTATTGCGACTAAAAATCGGTATATACATAATTTTGTATAATGATATGTATTATAAGAGATTTTCCATAATGTTGAAAAATTATGTGCACTTTTATCCGGTTCACAAAATACATTTTGCCAGTCAAGCTAAATAATACTGAAAATTATATAACACTTATATATTAGAGATAAAAGTAGAGCGTTTCTTACCTGTAAATGTTTATTTATACCAAGTGGATCACGTTCATCAATATCAATAATTGGTACGGTTTGAGCTTTAACTAAATATTCTGTTGACATTTTTTTGATTTTTTGAAATCTTGATAATGATTTTGGATGTATAATACCGTTTGATTTTTCGTTGCTACAGTGAATTATACCGTTCAATTGTTCACTACTATGGTTTTGTGTTTCAGTCTATAAATAATTAAGTCAAAAAAACTTCAATTATTCAATAAGGTCTGGAAAAATTCCTCTCAATTATGTTTAAATCAGAAAAACACTTGAAAAAATCAATTTTTATACTTTTAGAAACAATGTCATGTCATAACAGTGATGAAATGTTTACATTAACTATCATTTAAGGATAACGATTGTGCAAACATACATGACATCATTACGCATATACATTGTCTCTTTTTTCAGTTTTTAATTCACAGGGGAGCCTTTTCAGGTGATTTAAAAGATTTTCTAATTAAAACTACAGAAAAACATGTTTTAGACCGACCGTATAAGTTTTTACTGAGCTAGAGAACCATTACTTTCATGTATCTGTGTTTTCGCCTAACGTTGAAGTTTATTTTGTGTAAAGTTTCTTTACTTCAGTAAAAACTTTTCGGTAGGTCTAAAATTTTTTTAATGTAATTAACTCGAGTTGTTCTATGAACTGTTGGTATTGGGATCTGTTAAATTGAAGCTATGGATAGGCTTCTAGAGACTAGATTTCTGCGAAAAGACAGTAAATATCTCCATGAATATCAGATTCGTGATCAACATCAAAATTGCCGTAAGTGAGTGGAATCAGAAAAGGTCTTAATTATCTGGGAAGATGTTCCGTAAGATATTTCAATAAAAACCTGTTATTTATAATCGGTTGACGTAAAATTACTTACCATCATCCTTGGTGCTTTGTGTTTTGAGCGTGTGTGTGAATACGAATGAATTTGTCCTCACGATGAGTTGAACGTTTTTTTCTATACTGATAGGTATATTTTTGTTTCCGATTGTATATTTCTCTAACCAAATATATCGTTTACACTTCCGTTTGATGTTTAAAATCAAGTTAAACTTCTCTTAATCCTAATACTAACATTTGAAATTAACTCTGAATCGTACACATAGTAGTTGTTTACTAGAAGAAGTGATAATCGCTTTATTTCATATCATATATTTAATATGGACAGTGATTTGTTTAGAAAACATAAAGATCTATTGAAGATGTTCGAACTTATGCTAAAATGTTTTTTTATAAGATCTGAAAAGTAAAACTATTTGATTCATTGGAATATAAGATATAGATTAGTATTTAGCTATGTGTAACCATCAGGTATCAGAATAGTACAATATATCTTCTATTGTGTTGCCGAATGAAACTTTAGATGCATGACTGATTGAAAAAGTTAATCAAAATATATATTTTAGTTTGAGATAAGTTGATTTAACTCAATATTTGTCCAAAGTTGTATATATCGGTATGTTGATGTTGCCACTACTGTTCAAATCTTTTAATCGTAAAGGATTAACACCAATTTATTGAACAAATACTAAGAAAATTCAAGGTTCACTAGTGTATTTTGACCATTTTATTTTCAAATGAAATAAGTAAACTTTTCAGCCACCATGACATACATCTTCCCATATAACACATTGTCGATTAATCTCCACAACAACATCAACGTACGATTAATCATACGATTAAACGATGATTTTTTGCTAAATAGCGATTCATCGTCAAAAGTCTAGCGATTGTGTCTTAGTTTTTTTTTCTGCAATAACAAACTAAACTTATTCATATTTAATTTTAAAATATGCTGCTACTTTGCTAAGTGAAGTGTATTCTGATCTATGGTTAGTATTGATAGTATGAGTCAAAAAGAAATATATACATATGATAGAAAAAAATATGTAAGACCATATCATATATCCTGAATCAAATAAAACCAACATGAGCAAAGCATAAATGAAGAGAAAAAAATGATGGTTTTCGTTAACACATACGTTAAAATAATGTACAAATACTTTTTTTTAACATTATTTTTTGAAGGAGTAAAACTGTTAACATATGAACAATTGAATTCATCAAATAGTTCAACAGATTTTATTCAATGGACAGATGATGTATGGCATCGAACAACAATTTTATTTTCAAAAACATTCCCATTTAATCGTCAACGGTATACTAATCTCAATTTTCACATACATATGAATGATTGGTCATTTGAGTTAAAAGCAGATGATAGAGAGTGGGTGGAATTGCATGTTTTTCTTAATCCTTCGAAAACCTTAGATAATTCAACTTATATCAACATCGAAAATAAATGTGATAGTCCTATAATTGTACCAATATCAAACTCAACAGACATATTCATACCAGAAATTTTACAAATGGATGACCGTATCAATCAATATTTTAATCATACGTTACCATATCGTACAACTAGTTTCATTCATTGTAAAATAGATGATCAACGATTAAACAAAACCGATCATCTGATTAATATTCAATTGGATATTTATCTAATTACCAGTAATCAATTTCAGAGTATTATCTACTTGGAAATATCAAATGATACACGAGAATTTCTCATTGAAAATCAGGCACGAATTTGGATGCATAGTAATAGAAAACAATTACAATTTAATCTGAATGCATCTGAAATAATAACACAGACAAACGATTCAAATAGTGGTCATTTTTTACATATGATTAAGTTATACAAACAACAATTACGCGAAAATACTGGATTAAAATTAATCAATATTTCTAGAATTCATTGTCTTGTTTTTGCTTGCATTTTGTTGATAATGAACCGAAAGTAAAGACATTTAAAATTTTGCCTCGCATCTACAAAACATACGATGAAAATAACCATTAAAATGACTATTGTCAGTGCGTTTTTTTCACAACACCTTAAAGTGGCATTAGGTGCATTCGGCATTAATATACGCGGGCTAACACTTGCGTTTTGTACAAAGAATATTTAATGTCGATTATAGCGCAGTTAACGGAAACTCTCCAATATCATAAGAGTATTTTGTGTTCCTTCTTTTCTCGAGTTTTCGGAATGTTTATAAATGAAGAATCGAAAATATATTTTGCAAGTATGCAGTAAGATAAATATTTTCATTTGACATCTGGATTGATGTAGAACTTTGATGACGTTTACAAGTTGAAAGGCTTTCAGAAAACCTGAATTTTTTTAAATAAACTAGGATCTATTTTGAAAATTTATCGCCAACTGATCTGTACAACGTCTCATATTGAAGAAGACACTTTTCTTTACATGACGATGTAGTCTGTCAAAAAACTCAACTAGATCTTGGAAAACTGTACGACCTTATAGAAAAGCGTGCTGTGAGGAAGTTGGAAAATCTTCTGAAAAATCCACTTAAGACGCTCTGCAATCTAAAAGTAAACATACATACCAATTTCACTGTTTTTATTCCACATAGCGACTGTTGGTTGATTTCGCTTAGGCATGCACCAATAGTTATAGTAGTTCGGTGACCGAACTGTTCGCTACCGACCATGCTCGGTTACCGAACGTGTTCGGATTGGAAACTTGATGCAACCGAACGTGTTCGGACGAAGATTACAAATACGATAGTTTATATTTTTCTCATCAGAGTTATCGGCGAGCGCTCTGCTGAGAAACTATTAGAACAAAGTACCATAAATCTTATAAAGATACATTCGAATTAAGCAACTTTCTGTCTACTTTATTTGCACAGTGAGGAAAAGCATTTTTGCATGAAAACAAAGTAAATCAATCTGCTACAGAGGATCTATAGATTAATGTTAAAAAGAAAAATATTGAACGACTAATATTAAATATCAATTAAATATTTGTTCATCTTATCTAAATATTAGTCCGTTCAATATTTTTCTCTGCTTGAATATTTTGCCTTTATTTTAAAGTAATTAAATATTTTTCTGTCCGACCAAAAACTGTTCTAATATTAGCATCATCGCCAGCTTTAATATTTGTTTTTTCAGAAAAATAATTGACTATTTTTCTATCTTACAACAAGAAAAATATTTATTAGATCAGATAGAAAAATATTTAATTGATTTTTAATATTAGTCGTTTAATATTTTTCTTTTTAACATTTTTCGAGATATCCGCTACAGAGGCCACATTAGTAAAGTATACTTTAGTTAGAGAGTAAATCAGATATAATGGAAACTAACGATACTTTGAACTTCCTGGCATAAAACAAACATAAAGTCGCTGCTCTAATTCAAACTTTTCTTTGTAACAAACTTTCTACGGCTACGGCGTAATCATGGCTGCTCCTTCGTTTGGTGCCATGTTCACCATTTTTTCTGTTTTACAAAGATTTCTTTCATGTGTTTCATCGCTCCCATGTTCTTAGCTTTGACAAACTATTAAACCAACGGTTTAAATCTTTGGTAGCGAATTGCTCACTGATCGAACACGTTCGGTAGCGATCCGGTAGAACACACGTTCGCTCACATTGTACGTTAGTTAATCTATTTTCCCATTGGTTAGTTTCTTTAAAACTTCAATTTCATCCCATTTGTCTTTAGTCCAGACTAGGTATGCAACAATCCCAAGGTAGGACTCGCTGATCGGAAGCGAACCGTTCGGTGACCAAACGTGTTCGGTAACAAACCGTTCGGTTCCGACCAGCGAGCCCTATCTTGGGATTGTTGTATGCCTAATTTTGGTACAGGAAATCTTGCTTAACTGAAAATATTATCAGATATTTGCCGCATATTGTACAGAAAATGGTGTTACAGTATTTTTATTATTCTTCATACAAAACAGTGAATGACTCTGGTGTATCCGTATAACCAATGAATTTATTTGTTTTACTCAATGGTAATTGTCTTTTAGCAAATATTGTGTAAAAACTTTTTTTGTCGGTCAATATGACTACGGGTTCCGTGTTATCATCATCATGTATTTCTCTAAATCGATATTTTAGTATAGATAATTTTGTAAATTTTGTAATTAAAGTCAGTGTACTATCAATCGTTTCAGTTGTTGAACATTGTAAACTTAAATCAACCATATTTGTTAGTAATATAATACATGTAATGAATATAAATATTAAGGCCCCCCTCCCCCTCAAAAAAGTCAGTTTTCGTCAAAAATTTCGAAATCGAGATAAATGCATGGGGAGATAGCCCGTCTTCTGCTCTCTCAGAAACACTATTGGTTTTTTCTT